ATTATAATTTAATCTAGTGACTGTGATTGTGAGAATGTGACTAAAAGAGTTGTCTAACGAAAAGAGCTAAAGAAGCTGGAATGTAAGATTGAAGCAAATACGTTACAGTCATGAGTCATGACAAGGTGAAGTTCAATTCCACTCTCTAAAACAAAGAATGATTACCTTCAATCTCTGAAAAGATTGTGTTAAAAAAATTCCCAATTATATTTTTCTAGCACACTGTCAATAATTGAGTAATTATGTGAGATCCACGTATTTCAATTTCCATATTAATTACTTATTTCAGTTATAATAATATTAAATTCGCAATTTGGTAAACCATCTGTATAGTAAGACTTGGGAATAGACTGATAGTTTGTGTGTACAAGTATGTGATGTTTGAGAGTTTCTTGCTCATTTTTAGTGTATAGCAATGTTTCCTTAATGGCAGCAGTAAAATCTATTTGATAAGTGCTTTGAGAGTGTAGGTACAAAGAATGTCTGTAGTTTATTTATGATGCATTACATGCATCTTAAAACTTTGAATTAAATTCCAGTGAAATATATAAAAGTGGACCCTGATTGTTTTCCCCTGCACCCTTCTTATACAAAAACCCAATACATGGAAGGATCTCCTAAATACCTGGATAAGTGTCTTTTGATCACTACATTTGTGACCAATCCTTCTGGTAAACAAACTCAAGTACTTTGAAAAAATCATCCAGCCATTCGATCTGGAAGTAAATAAAGAACAGTTAATAGATTGCAAAATGCTTACAGGATCTCCTCCCAATGATTTTTAAAGAAATCAGTATCCTGGAATGCAAAACTTTAACACTCACACATTAATCAGTCATGAAGCGTATGCAACAGTATGCATCTCTGGTCATTGGAGAACTCATTAAATATTTAGAAAAGTAAGAAAGGAAATTTTTAAGAAAATATGGATTGCAGTATGCAAAATAGGAACATGGATGGAGGGGAGATTCCAAAAGATATATCTGCATTCTTAAAAATCTCTGATACATTAGGAGAAAGACTAATAAAATTCTGTGGTCATATACTGAGAATGAATGAAAGTCCAATCTTTACAAGATATTTAAAAATCAAGAACAATTGGAAGATTGAAAAAGATCTCCAAATAATCATTACAGGAAAAACTATGAGCGATAGGTCTAAATTCATATCAATAATTGACCGACCCAAGATATGGATCTCTATAACATGAATTCAAGAATGCAGCAAGAGGATAAAGAGAACTGGCAAGAGAAGAAAACGAAGGTTTTTGCTTAATTTACTTTTACTGCTACAGTTAAATTACATCCCCCACACTTCATCATATGTGTGTGGACATTATGTGTACATAAAAAAAAGAAAGGAAGAAAGAAAGAATAATTATAATTAATAATAATATAATAGCAGTATCAACGTTAATAATTATTAGATATGTTTTATTTCAGAGGGAAAAGCATGTCAGCAATTTTGTTAATAAAATAAAAATTATTTCTTTATATGTATTCAGTTGTTGCTATTGTTCTAAAATGTCGATAAAAGCAAAGTACTCTCAAGAAATTTGTGCATGTAAGATGTTGACATTAATTTCATTAACTTCCAAAAAGTAAGATTGCCTCCATGAAATTAAATTCTTGCATACTTTTATAATTATTAAGGTAAATACATGTAAAGAGAGAAATTTACAGCCACAAGTAATTTACTCCATTAAAACTGCGATATTAATGGAAAGCCTATTGCTTCAATTTTTAAACTTTACTGCAATGCTTGTAGACAAAACTGAAAAGTTGCCTGGAGGTATGAGGTTTTGGTGAAGAAGCTTATTTGATTGTTGAATTGGGAAAAATCACTTTAAAATTATTTTTTTCTTTTCTACTTTTTAGAGATTTTGGATGAATTTTCTAACATAGCTGCTATTAATATTTTGAAATGCAACTTAATGAAGAAAGAATTTACATGTACACGTAAGCTTCCGCGGCTCGAAACCACAAATTCATGGCTATCTGGGAGATGCCGCGTCGTTGGCTGGGAGACGACGCTCAGGGCAGTGAGGAAGCCTGCGACATGTCAGGCGAAACGTCGGCCTCCCAGCCAACGACGAGGCGTCTCCCGGATAGCCGAGATTTATGAATTTACTTGTAGTTTTCCGTATATTATTACACTGATAACATGAATGTGTCATGATTCTAATAATTTATACAGTATATCTACATTTCTTGAAAGGAGGATATTTAGGCCCTAATTTCAGAAAATCAAGGTGGTTAGTATTTCACTGTTTTCATGTGTCATAAAGGTATTTCTTTTTCTAGACTTTGCCATTTCATTTTTTGTTGTTTAATTGAGTCAATATAGCAGACATTGATATTTCTTAGCTGTTACAATTATTAATGTATTTGTAGACTAGCATATTAATTCTCTTATGTTAAAATGTTTGGGCAGACGAGAAATGATAATTTTCTTCCTCAAAGTTTTTAACCACCAAGAGTTCTTACTTTCTCAGTACCAGTCTCAATACCAAAAAACAGTAGACAGAGACAAAATTAATCAGACATTTTACTTTCACATTGCTATAATGTTTGTTATTTCTAACTCAGGACACATTGAGTAACACATCTTTGTTCAGTAAGTTCCAGACATTTGAAAAGGGTTGCTCTAAATATGATGTAACAATGCAAATATAACTTACTAAAATATTTGGTAGTATGTTTTACTCGATAATTTTTGTTGCAACGTAATGCATTACATTATAGGAAAGAAGAAAATGTATTTTGCCTATGTTTTCTACGCAATGCAAACAGTGGATTTGTGCCTGATCTATTATTGTAGAACTGAATGCTTTCCTTGGAAGTGAACTTGATTGTTGGTCAAGTTAGTATTATCCATTGTGTGGATAGGCCTAAATGATTTTGAAATAGTCATTTCAGTTTTATTTTTGGGATACAAATATAGATGTAAATTTGTGTAGCTGCACTATTGTGTCTGTCCCAGATATGTAATAAAAGTAATGATAGTTATACTATTAATCTATTCCAATAGTATGTTGTGAAGACCACCTGAATGTGATCTCTGAGCTTCGCCACACACTGCTATTTATAATCTGTAAAAAGAAAATGTGGTTTCAATTTTGAGAACACAATTAAATGATTTATGTAATTATTCAAGTCAAAATAAAAATGCGTATTAGAGGATTGTTAAATATTGAAAAATATTTGCATTGTGCAATAAATCATGTATGCTTTAAATTCAATGAATATTAAAATAAAATTTCTTTCATATAGAAAACAGTTATATTGATTTCTTTGTAACCTGCTGTTCTTCCATTCAGTTTTTATTGAACTTCTTGTTGCATTTGAAGTAAGTATTTAAGTAAGAGTTCAAAAAACTACGAAGTGGGTAAATAGTGGTGTTATGTTAATGTAGGTATGAAAAGTTTAAAAGAGGTATTTGTTGAACTATTATGTAGTCTTCTATTTAATAAGATCAGAAATAAATTTGTAGATGTAAGTGTTCTATGGGATTTCTTATTTTGTTCCCTTTTCCTGCTTAGTAATGTAGAGTATTTGTGCACTAATGGGTTATATTATATTTTTACTGTATTCAATTAATAAATATAGAGAGTTCATTTTAAAATGTGTACCAGTGCTGTGCCTCGTGAGATTTGTTCTTAACATTAGTCAATTCTTCAACAGAGAGCAGTAGGGACAGTTGCCAAAATCTGTACCTGATTTGCCTTTGCAGGTTGTTTTTATTACAGGGGAGTGAATATTTTCATACCAATTCTTGCCAAAAATTGTTGCTACTTGTATTCATAATTCAACTTAATATGTATACAAGTTAGGACAGAGATCCCTGAGCTCAAGAACCCATGCACAGATTGCACTTGTATGTCAAGTAGTAAAAACTACTTCACATACTGTGGGGAGAAGTGCAATCTGTGCATGAGTTCTTGAGCTTACTCTTTTACTCTTATTACTTTAATTACTCTTTTGACAATACATAAAAGGACAAATTTGTGAAGTTTTTAAATGTTTCAAGGAACAATTTACATGATTAAATGATAAAATAAGATATTGTAGATCAAGAGCGGGTACATTTGATAATATTCCAAAATGGGAAGAAAATATTAAGTTTAAAAACAGCCCTCAGAATTGTGGAGTAAAAAATCTCTGGTTGGTGCAGTGGGACAAAACTGCCCTGGTAGTGTGGGTATGTGTGTTGCCAGTTGAAGCAATATAGCCCCACCTACCATTCACTTTCTTTGCTTTACAAGAGAAGTAGTTTACATTCTTATATCATTACAAATACTTACATTCACTTTAAATTACAAGCAATATAATTCCTTGAATTTTTTTTTATTTTAAATATTCATGGAATGGAAATTGTAGTCGTCTATATTTCCACATTCAGAAGAAACATATTGATTGATGTCTCTATGGACATCAACTTTTTATGTCATTAGTCCCATTAGTATAGGGAAGTTTTATCCTGGGAGGTAGCTGTGTTCCTCCCCAAGTGGACAGTGAGATATGGCCTATACATCAACTTGTAGGGGTTTACCCCAACCAGGTATCTCCACCAACGAGGCACCAGCCCAGTTGGGCTACCCAAGATCTCCTGACATGTGTGACAGGGTAGTGCATGCTAGTGTAAGTGGTGTTTTTGAAAGGGAAGAGAAGTGACAAGTATGAGGAAGAAAAGATTGTGCGCCATCCATGACTGATGTGTTAATATATTCCTCTGATATCTGTCTAGTACCGATCATAAAAAGCACAAAGAAACTACCAATCAAAGCAGCTGACTCCCTGAATTATCCTCTATGTAATGGCTGATTACAACCTTACTATGTAGCTAGAGTCAAAAATCCACCACAATTGGAACTCGGAAAAAAAAGTAATTCTTACTGTAATTTTAGTTAATTTTTAGACAGACTTGGCTTGATACTTTCTGTGAATCTATAAGAAATAAATTATATCATGAGCATAAACTCAATTTCAATTATTACGTATATTTTTAAAAGTATAAAACATATTTCCTACACCATCTGTGTGCCTTTATTATCAAGCAGTACGAAATTTCAAGTTTTCAAGAATATTGTTTTTCGAAATGAAACAAAAGTTTCAGAATATGTAAATTGTTACATGAATATTTCCCCAGTGAAATAAATTTTAAAGTGTGTTGACAGTAAAACAGGATTCACTTATTTTTTAGATAATTATACCTTTTATTAAACAACATTAATTCAATAGTGACTAGATGGTGAACACATTTATAACAATGTTCATGAAACTGCAAAATTTCAAAACCCACATAATCTATGAAATTAAGATTATGACCAATAAATTTATTGCCTAAGAATACTTCTTACAAAATGTCATATTTCAAAAATGTTTTCCTGCTTAATTTTATAAACACAAAACGTTGAATACCAATCATTTGTAATATTGAGGCAAAGAGATGTACACCACATACCTAAAAACCATAAAAATTATGAAACACTCTTTATTGTAATGATAAAATAAGACATAAAATTAGATAAATTATCCAGTCTAACTTGAAACTCTGAAAGCGTATCCAGTTTTTTGGCTCTCCTGTAAAATTTAGTTCTAGTGGGATACATAATTTTGCAGTTTAACTTGACATACGTATCATGCATTAAAGTTGCACCTGTTGGAGAATTTTAATTTATACATACTGAATTTTAACAACAAATAACTGCAAAGGTTTTCAATTAAGTAAACACCTTTAGTAGTAGTACTTCATAAAACATTAATACACCTACATATCATAGTTTTGGCATGAAAATAAAACAATTTTGTCCATTTTAACTAACATGTTCTATGAGTTTTTAACTCATTAAATATATGTCATTATAATTTTCAATCATTCTATTCCCATACAATTTCAAATACTGTGTTTGAAACTAAGGATATAAATTTTTCATACGTATCTCTTAGATATATTAGTTATATTCTGATATTAAAGAGTCTTTGCGCACACACACACATACAACATGAACCCCTTCATCTAAATCTTCAAAATTGTATAACATTTGTTCATCACCTGATAACAGAAAATGGTAATAGATAAAAGTTAAAGAGGAACTGAAGAAAATATGTGCAAAATTGACATACATTAAAAAATGTACCCACATGGACAGAAGAAAGTTTGTAAACAAGAAAGCAAATATGTTAAATTGACAGAACAGAGAAAATTGAAATTTATTTCATGGAAATACAATTATTAAATACCATACAAATGTACGACCTCATGTGGTGTTAATGCACTAGTGCACATAATGCCTCACAAATTTGCTAACACTACATAAAATAAAAACTAATGAGAACAAAAATACTATATGCCTATGCATTGACAATCACACAACTGTATCCTTAATTACAAATGAATCAAGAATAACTCATTTCTACAATCATGTTTTTTCTTTTCGTAATTGTTCTGTTAGGTCAGCCTGTTTCTGTAGGAAATACAAGTTTTGAGTCTTTTTCTGTTGTTGCCGATACACATCACGTATCACTCCTTCGTGCATTTTTTCCCTGAAAACGGAAGGAAGAGCAATAATACCAAAATGAACAAATACAACGCACCAAACATGAGCGCTAATTATCACAACACAATTTTTTTAATGAATAACTATTTCATTGTCACACAACTAATTACCTGTCAATTTGCTGTCTATAATGAACATAACCAACAATCCCTATACTAACTAGCAGGGATACGCCCAGAGCTGCCTTTGAGGCAAGTGACATTTCTACTTATTAGTACTACACAATTATTTGCATTTTCTATGGGTTAGCGTCATTATCACCTCAATCTCAACCTGTCTCTTCACAATACTGGTCGCAAGTTCTGTAACCGGTCTGTATCTCTTGCCAAGTACTAGGCCTTCCATTCCTTTGCACATGCACGACTGCTGCGTGAGTTTTCGCAAACACGTGCCCAGAGAGTATAATATATCAGAGAGTATATTGCACGTGCCTCCAAGCATACGTTCGGGTAGATCCGGAACAATTCGACTTTCTTCGGACCATTGGTGACTTAGCGGTTCATTAAATGAGTGGAAAGCGTCGACTCATTTTCTTACCTTTCTCTAAAATTAAACAATTACGCTTTTGTCTATGATATGCAGTGTACCAAACTATATTTTTACGAAACTTCTTTGTTCTCCATATTTAGTTCTATCATTAAGGTCATGTATTTTTTAATAGTTGTTTTTGGGCAATATTGCGTACAATAAGTGCAACATTAAAAAACATTCTCGAAAATGGCTTCAATTTTTTTCTTAAAACCTTTGATAGGGATTGTGCTAAATGTACTCTATAAGAGGACATAAACGCCACATTGCTCTATTCCTTTAAAAAATTACAAAAATTTAGTTTTCACCTCGTCTTTTACGTCGTTAATATTTACATTAGCGGCAATTTTTTATGAGTACATGTGTTTTAAATAATATCACATAAAGTTTATCGAAAAATCAAGTTTTCTGTGAAAATGAGCTCAAATTTTTGCATCGGAAAATTACAGGCGACTCCGGTTGTAGCGAACTCGGATATAGTGAACCGTCGGTTATAGTGAATTGAAGAAGTCTCCCCCTGAGGTAAACGTTGCGAACCCGGAATGGGAACCTTATTGATGACCTCATACCATTCAGTTTCAAGCTTGATGTTACGTGGAATTCCGCGGGTCAAAGCGCGTTGTATTCTAAGTTGGCGATAGGCGCGACTGCCACAGCTCCACAGCCTCCCGATACCCGCCGTGCCCCGCGTAAAAGCGATCAGTTTCATTACCCGCTTGCGCCATGCCGCTACAGAAAGGATCTTGTATGTTATTAGGCGAGTAAAAAGAACCTTCGAAGAGTGGGGCTTCCAACAGAGGACAATGCAGGATCAAGTATGGCGAGAGCGGGAACTCTGGAGAAAGATCAAGAGAAATTAGTAATGAAAAGTGTATGAAGCAAACAATTGAAAATTATTGATTTTTTAATAATTACAAACAACAATTACAATTTTTTAATAAAAACAAATAAAAATATTGAAATTTTTAGATCGTGCTATTCATGTACTTTCTGTGTATCTACATGTTAATAAAATCTATCTATGTGGAGCAATTCTATTTAACTTTGACATCTTCGAATATAGTGAACCAAAAATGCTAGTCCTCAAAAGTTCACTATAACCAGAGTCGACTGTAATAGGTTAGGTCTTAAAATTTGTTGTAGTTTGCTACATGTGTTACATCTTTTTTAATCATATGACCATAAAAGGTAGAAGAGAAAATCCCACGTAAGGCAGAACATTAGCAGACCCACTGAAATAGTTCTGTGAGGTAGTTCTAACTTGAATTAATGATTTTAGGTTATATATTATACAATATAGAAATTAATTATTTTAATTAAAATTAATCTATATGTAATACTGTAATAATAGCAATTAAAATAATACAGGAAGGTAATAGCATTAAAATTTTATTAAACTAGTTAAAAAGTGTGAGTAGCATTGTATTTTTAATAAATTTGTTCATATAATTCTTTAAAAAATATTACAGTCTACCTGATATTACTTTTTTCAGACATCCCTTGCAAATGAAGGAATTTTTTATTACAATAATTCATATGTAAAATAATTTGTGAAACACTGGTTGATTGGAAAACTGCCAAACATTAGTGACAGATCATATTAATAAAAGAGGAATTTTTGCAATGTCCTAGTTGAACGTAGAGATCTGAGTGGCACAGAAACTCAGAGAAAATACACAATATATGGGTACCCGGTAAAGAAGTTTTTTTTCTTTCGAAAATAGTCGTTTCATAATTAAAAAAGTTTAGTAAATATAAATTGTTTTGAGGGTTGTTTTGTCAACGCATTTGTAATTATTTTATAGAACAATTTATATACAGTAACTTTTTTTTAGTTTTATGACAAGAACATAATCAGTTAAATTAGTTTGGATTTTGAACTGGCGTTGATTTTCAAATGAACGGAAGCAATCGATAAGGTGTGTTTCCCGCAATAGCTGGAAGATAGCGCAGGAGCAGCCTCCTCGCGGAAGTATTAAACGGCCTTTACGCATACCCATACACTCTCCCACTCTGCTTTTAGTTGTTCGCAGTGGCTTACAACAGTAAAAATGCTTCTGAACAAAACCACAAAAAATGGTTTTCCAAAATGTAGTACAGTCTAAAGACAATGTAAGTCTTCACGAATACTGCAATAACATGATAACATGACACACGGCCTTGCTGACGTATGAGGCCAGCTGTGTCGCAAGCAGTGTCGTTCTGCGAATAGAGAATTTAGTAGGCACTCGCAGTGTGAGAATAGGCGAAATCACACAATTCAATTATTAGTTTCAGTCACAATAGAAAATGTTTCATTTTCGTCGAATATTTCCCATTGAAAATTAGAAATTCAGATTTTTTTTTTCACGAGTTCCTAGTATCTAACGATACCATGGACACCTCTCACATGGCCGGAGGCTACATGGTTTTGTTTGAACTTCTGTGCTTATTGGAAATCGGTAATATCGATATTTCAAATATCGATATATTATTACATAAGAGTGCTTTATGACTCTTTATAAAAGGAAGTGAAAATTGTTACAGTAAGAATTCATTTCTTTCCGTTGATTAGACTTCGCTAATATAATTAACATTTATGAATGAATATTTTATGAAGGTTCGCTTAAAAGGAATATGAAAAAACAGGCGATGTAACTATAAAATGTAAATGTATAAATTCATAAAGTATAAGAATTAACATATTTTTGTTCGAGAATATTTTAAAGATTGCATATGCAGGGGAGGTTTATATTTATCTGTATACTACAATAAATTAGAGGGCAAGATTGTTACTGACGTACAATGTAGTTCACATAATTACTCAGAGAAAAAAAATCGCCGTTTTCCGAAGCACGGTTACAATACTTTCGCTTCTTACGAAGTGAGGGCGAGAAAGTAAAAGCTCAAGGCCGCTTATTCAGATTACAATTCATTGAAAAGTATCTCGTTGGTTTGTGTTGTTGATTGCTATGAATGTGATTTATGACAAGGACTCTTTTTTTTAGATTAAATAGTATCATATTCGGAAAGGTATTTCGCATGAACATTGAAATAGAATTGTCGCATAGTTCATAATCATGTTTTTTTGGCCACATAATTTCTTATCATTGTTATTGCAAACCAAGTCTGTTTTAGCAAAAGCGTTAATATCCAGGTGTCTACAAGAGCTAATTTATTTTCTGGAATTTATTTATTTTGATCTTTGCTATTTAAATTTTTTTTATTCGTTACTATATTTTTTACTTTCTCGCCTTACTGACTACTTACGTAGTAAGAGTCAAAAGTGGATAAATAGTGTTCCTATATGTATATGCTCTAACACGTTGAGTAATCATAATTCATGTTTTGTGGATCCTTGATGCAGAATAATTGATTGACGGCAAAAAAGTCTGTCTGACAGTTAATCCGTCAGTGTCAGTCTGAGGTCAACACTAGCGCCTTAAATCTTCCAACGACTTTCTCTAATATTGATATTTCCCGATTAATCTAAACGATCTCAATGCTCTGCGAGTTTGAAAATAATATTTCAATTTGTGGGTGTATTTTACAGATGGCGTAGAGGATGATTAAAAACATAGCATATGTCTAATTTCCGTGGAAATCTCTAAACTTTCGAAAATCGCAAAATTTGTTTTAATGTCGTCCTACATCTACAATATTGAAGATATACATTTTTTGCTGAATGACATCTGTCCTTCAAAGATACATCTTGAAATAAGGTTATGTTGAATTATTCGACAATATTATTAATTTTCGCGTAATTTTTCTTGAAAGTTAGTCAAATAATTATTTTCTCAAAAACATCTCCAATTGTTTTCTTCACTTTTCCCACCTCAGTTATAGCATCGGACTCTTAAAAAATTAGGCAGGTCCCATTTTCGGTGAACTCGGTATTTCGGTTTCGGTATTTTAGAAAATTGCAAAAACTTAATATTGCAAATGTGAAATATTGATAATAGAAATGTTTCCCGTAATGAAATATGTTTTATAAATTATATCTTTAAAGAAGGTCATGAACAAGTTTTTGAATAACGAGACGTTTCTGCGCAATTTTTGCTTGAAATAAAGGTATTTTATATTTTTTTCTCAATATTTATCCGAATTTGTTGTTTACATTTTTTCTGAATAGAGCTAAGGACGCTTAAAAAATGGCGAAGATCTAATGTTTGAAGAATTTTGAATTTGTGAAAACTGGGGGGAAAAATGCGGGAAAGTATGTGCTGTGTTGCACTACAGTTATATATTCACAATTTATCGCTGCTGTGTGCTATAACAGGCAATGCTTGCAAAACGAATATTGAATTAGATTTATGTGGAAGCAGGTGTTAGTTTCAATTTTCCATTGACTGTCTAAAAATATTTTGGTAAGATCACACTATATAATATACTCATAAATAGTCTTTGCTGAAAAATGTCTAATTAAAATTTACGCAAACATAGAAATCATGAATATTTCTCTCGGCGAATTTTTGAGGTATATTTAGTATATATTATAAACAAGATTGAGATTTTGCGTAAAGTTTAGAATAATATATTTACACGAAAGTGGCATGTGTTAAAAAACTATCGGAACGACGGACAATATAAATACTGTCGAGAGGGAACGAATTCGATAGGTCATACGTAGTTGAGTGGGATGTGGTCGACGATTGAGAAGAAAAGGATAACCTGGTGAAATTGTGGGATTCTAGTGACAGTGATGGTGAGAATAATTCTTGCTAAAACAAAACGAACGAAAATTTTCCCTTTGTCACTGCAAGAATCATTTCGGCCAGAAACTACATTGCTAAAACTTTAATATTGATCATGTGAATGATGAATATGAGAGGACCAGGCGTGATTGCTTTCTAAAGTTGTTCATTTAATTAATAAATAAT